CCTTGTTACTAGAGTTACTAGGACATTCAGATGAGCACTTGCCCGTATACATTATGGATCATGACGCAACGGACTCTCCTTTTTGCCCTGATGCGGGTCCATGCATCTCTCAATACAAGGGCAAGGATGAGTGTATTCCCGATGTCCTCAATCACCGTCAATTTCTGTCCTCGAAATGCTTCGCTCAGTCCTATGGTACAGCTCTGGATACAAGTGAGCGTGAACGACCAGTCAAGAGAGCCGTCGTTAGGGTACCTTGTCCCAAATCAGAATGCGGTTATAATTCTGTGGAATGGGTCTGTCCAGTATGCTTTGCCGCGATTGAATACGGTTTCAGCGATAGATTCTTCTATTGCGTGTGTGGCCGTGGCGCCTACAGTACATTTGAGTTCAAATGTAATGATCCCAAACACGGGAACACCTATGAGAAATATAATGCAAAAGAGCTCCATGAACTATTGACTGGACTCGATCAGTCTGACTTTATCAACATTCTCATTCTCGGAGAAACTGGAGTGGGAAAGTCAACATTTATCAATGCGTTTGTCAATTACTTGACTTACTCAACACTAGATGAGGCCAAAGATGCAGATCAGCTCACATCTGTGATTCCATGCTCTTTCTCTATCCAACACATGGACAGAGAAAACCTGTCTGCTGGAATTCAAGAATACAATGTCAAGGTTGGCGCTCGTGATGATGAGGCAGATGGTTCAACAGGAAAGTCGGCAACACAGAAGTCATCTGTGTATTCGGTCACAATCGGGACAAAGACATACCGGTTGATTGATACTCCAGGTATTGGAGATACAAGGGGCCACTCTTACGATAAGGAGAACATGGCCGATATTCTAAACACGATTAGCAGCTACGATGAACTACATGGTATCCTGGTCCTTGTCAAATCTAATAACGCTCGTCTCACCGTTACTTTTAGATATTGTGTTAAGGAATTGCTCACCCATATACACCGCAGCGCAGCCAATATTATGGCCTTCGGTTTCACTAATACGCGCATCTCCAACTACGCACCCGGGGATACGTTTAAACCACTCAAGTCACTGCTTGATGAGCATTTGGACATACCTATTACGCTCTCCGCTTCAACTACATACTGTTTTGACTCTGAAAGCTTTCGCTACCTCGCGGCGTATAGGCAGAAAGTACCAATATCCAATGAAGAAGAGTTCTGTAGAAGTTGGGATCACTCAAGTAAAGAGGCGCATAGACTTCTCGAATACTTCGCATCAACATCACCTCATTCTGTTGTCAGCACACTGAGCCTTAACGGAGCGCGGAAGCTAATATTGGAATTGACAAAACCCATGGCGGGCATTGCGGAATGTATCAGGAAAAGCATCAAGCTAGCCGAAAATCAGAAGATGGACTTGAACGACACAAGATTGACAGGCGCGAATCTTCGTAAGAGGCTTCGCTTGGAAAAGATTCAATTCTCAGCTAAAAAGCTGGACAGACCTCGCACAGTTTGCAAAAATACTCATTGTTGTGACTTCAAGGATAGCGGTGTTGGGGATGGGGCAGTTGTCACCATTTATAAGACGCACTGCCACCCCATCTGCTCTCTGAAAAATGTCAAGGAAGATGTGATCGCTGATCCTGGCCTTATTCACTGCGCGGCGTTTCGTGGCGCAAGCGTTTGCAAACGTTGTCACCACCGATGGCAAGAGCATTTACATATGCTTTTCGAGTTGTCGGAGACCAAAGTTCAAGTCACAGACACTGAAATCGAAAGGCAGTTGAAGGCCAACGCAGACGTTGTGACGCTACGGCAAACAACCATCACTAGGCTCGATCAAACTATTGAAGAGTATAAGCAAGAGCTCAACGAGGTTCGACGTGCTACAGCTCGATTTTGTCTTTTTTTGAAAGAGAATTCCATCACATACATTAATGACGCTACATTGGAATATCTAGACATTCTCATTCAAGATGAAAAGGTTGCTGTTGAAGCCGCAAAAGAGAGAGGCATCCTTACAAACACGAAACGCCTCGAGGCATTGCAAGAGGATAGGCAGATCCACCTCCAGCTAGTTGAGACGTTCCAGCAGAATATGAGTGAGCCCACTTGTCCAGAGGATATGCTTCTTGACGAACAAGGAGTTGACGCTCTGGTGAAAAAATTGTACAAGCTGGAGCATTTTGGCAAGAACTTGGAGCATGTTAAATATGTCATAACTTCTTCGCTAAAAGAGACGTCTCGTGAGCGGCCATACCGCGTACAAGCATCTGGTCGAAACAGATACAGTGCAATGGGTTATGGGAAACGAACCTATGACCAGAAAAGGGGGGCATCGCACGAGAGGCGTTCATCGTCTTTTTCAACAAACAAAGGCCGCAAAATGAGAGATGATGGCGGCCATGGATGGGGCATGGAGCTAATGTCACGATCTGTTAATCCGGAACTTTCATTTGCTGAAGTGGCCCGCCACGGTTCTTCATACGTACAGGCACCAAAAATGATTCTCAGTCGCGTAAAGTCGTGGTGGAGATAATCGCATGTACAAGTGCATAGCTGACGCAAATTTAGGCTGGGTAGTTGATATAGGACTTATAATTGACATATAATCTACGTCGTTTGGTAAAATGATGATGAGGGCTCCTACACCGGCTGCAATTATAACCTTATTCGCTCTTTCGGCAGAATTATCCGACATAGCTGGGTTTACATGAGCTGGAATAAGTGGGTAAAGAGATGTGTAATGTGTAAAAGAGCAGCTTTAGGAGACATGTTCAAAGAGTGGGGATGTAAAAAGAATTAAATATAGTCTTCAAGTTCCTCTTTTCGATTTCCTAATACTATAAGGGTATCAGCTAATGCTTCTTCAATATATAATAGTAGACTATTGCTAGAAATCACGATATCGAAGCAGACAGCCAGAAATCCTCAACGTGGAGACAAAAAGTCAATATTTTTTTTTTCCACCATCAAGTTTTGTACATGTCATTCTATATTTACATGCAATCATCTTTTTAGCCGCAAACAAAACAATTCGGGGCTTATACCTAGCAGCACTAGCCGGCGGGATACGATCCTATAAGTTTATCCAAATTACAAAAACACTCACAGCCCTACGTAACCTTGTATCAAATAAATCGTTACTTGTGATCCCTTCAAGATTTAGCTTTAAATGCTCATTAAATAGATCTTATCAACGATCTCATCCGTATGTAGGGCGATATGAGTAAGTAGCGGCACTAACACTGGCACATTGTAGATCGAATGAACATAGCTAGAACAGGTGTTGTGAAGAATTAGCGGTGATTGACTTATGTATACCTGTATTTAGGCAATTATTGTTGTCAGGGCTATTATCCATGATGCCAATTCTAGCATATTTATAATCTTTTCCACACCTCTCGCTTGTGGCATGCATGCTTACTTATCATTTGGCTCACATGTGGCTCCTATACAGCATACGTTGTAAGCTATCGGGCCTATCAAGATGTTTGCAAGATTAGCGAGGTTGCACCATCGTTCACCATCACAACTGAACCCAGGAATCTAAAAATAACTTGGATTAGTATTAACGGAGTCATCAGCCAAATTATCCTTAACTGGAAAGTCGAGAGCTCTTGCATATTCAGCCCGGAGTTTTGGATAATTCCCTGCATTAACCACATCTGGCCGTATGTTTTCGTGGCCTAGATCGTAGACAAACGACCGGTTGGTGTAATGATTTATGCTTCCATATCAATTTGGCATATTATAAGAGGTGCGGGTAAAATAGCTTTCTTTAGGCTTAATTTAATATCGACTCAATAGTATGGTGCTTCAATCTCAAAATGCGCGGGGTCTGCAGCAAATTCTCAGAAAACAATCCGCTAAAACAACAAGTATAGCAGGACTTTGTTCGACAAATCATCTCGGAATATAGGGGTATAATAGACAAGTTTACGCTCTGCTATCCGCCAAGACTGGAAAGTTTATTATTCTTGTAGCTTAAACAACATAAGCTTACTGTAACCTTCCCAATCCGGACGGTATACTAAACACAACGAAGCTTGTTCTCTTACCAATCGGGGTAACTGACTATCCGGAGACAAATTAAATAAACGTATCTAGTTTATAACAGTTGTTAGAGTCTGTTGAACATATATTTATTTATATATATATGTCTATTTGTTTCCAACTTCACCACTTCTTTTCCGACTTCCAGTACAGCCCCAATCTCATCAAAAGCATTTCCACAATGCAGTTGACAACCGCCATCTTCACCACCCTCTGCCTCGCGCTCTCCGCAAAGGCCGATTCAGCAATCTGCTTCCCAGTTCCTGGACAGCCCAGCACCGTTCCCCAGTCTATCTTGGACCTCGACTCCCAAATCAAGCTCAACTGGGCGGCCACTCTTTGCTCCCAGCTTACGTTCCCATCCGACGGATTACAAACCGCCGTGACATCGCTGGCCGACGGGATCAAGGGAGATGACGGCAAGCTCTATGGTCTAGAGGTGGTAAGTATATATATATATATATATATATTTTCCAACGGCTCTCAATAAGTCGATGTACTAATGTATCAACGATAGGCTGTCCACGACATCCAAACCGAGGATAACTGCAACGTATGTTCCGCTTACCCTCTGCTACTTAAGAATCCAACTAACATGGAGACAACTTATACAGGTTAACGCCAATGCCCTGCTCGGAACTCCCGGCTGCCCAGGCGGCGGTCTCTTGACACTGAGCGGCCCTCTTGAGCAGTGGTCATACATCACCGCGCTCAACTAAGCACAGTGGCAGCTAATGATCTAACACAGCTGCAAGATCTCATCACTTGGTTGTTACATTCAGTAGAGGGACGAGCTAACATGAGTTGTTACATGTTAGTTTAGCTTTGCCAACAGATTATTATAGTGTTAATCTACGACTTCTTCAATAAAACAATCATTGAAAACCCGTGGATTATCTCAATGTGTATTCACATCTCTCACCAATAGTTCCTATACGTCAATTGCACAACCCTTGTCAATAACAACAAATCCGATATGGTGTAGTGGCTAACATCGCTCGCTCTCATGAAGATCCGAGCAGCCCTGGGTTCGATTCCCAGTATCGGAGACATGAAATCATTTGTTTTTTGTAATTTTTCACACTCACTCTTTCTTTTCTTTTTCTCCGCTTTTCTTTTTTGGCTCTTTTCTCTTCCTTTCAAGCTAGTACCACTTTGTCCTATGTATTAGCTTGCATTGTGCAATCAAACCTTTTCTTTTTCCACTTGTTTTTTTACCGCTCCACTATTCAACTCCACTCAACTCTGATGGAAATTTTCAAGAGGTTATCTACCACTTCACGCTCCCACATCTCAACGAGTCAAGCGACAACCATCGCTCAACTCAACACATCCGATATGGTGTAGTGGCTAACATCGCTCGCTCTCAACTTCTGTTGAAGCACCGAGCAGCCCTGGGTTCGATTCCCAGTATCGGAGACTTTACTTTTTGTAGTATTTTTATGGCTGCTTTCTCTTCCTTTTTGTCAGACCCATTACGTACTTACCTATTTTATTTACATTGAGGCCGACTATTATTCATAGGCAACCAGCTAGTCAACATGTCATGTCACAAAAGCAAGAGGCACACACAAATTGTTCTAAATAATTCTTATTGAATTGAAATAAAAGTCAAACTTTACTCCAGGTAGCAACATATCGGCGTCTGATAAGATCGCAGTGCTTATCCCTTTCATACCCAAAGCTAACTGTAATTCCTCCTCAGTGGCCCGTTTGGCCAATCCTTCAGCTGTTTTGTATGCTTCTTTTATGCACGCAAAACGTCTCAAGTGCAAATGAGAAAGGAATAGAATGAAAAAAAAAATTCTTAATACACAAGGCAACCCTTTTAATCATTAAAACTGCCGAAATCTTTTCGTAAAATCGTTAAAACAAGTGTAGTGGTGAATGGGGTAAAGTGTTGATAACAATGCAAAGACGTCTTTTATCGTCTTTCCTTGGGGAGGTTCTGTCATTCTTTATTTCTTGATTTATTCTTGGAATCCCTGGTAATCAAGGTTCCAGCAATCCATCTGCTGGAAGATGTCTGGCTGTGTAGCCTGGGAGAAGCCCAGGTTTGCACTTGGCATCTCTGTAAACAGAGACTGGAAAACGGTTGTCTTGTCTAGTGACGCCGGGAAGAGTTGGAAGTCGGCGCCGTCAGAAGCAAAAGACTCATCAAAACCCTCATCAACCTCACGTAGTGAGGTTGGTGTGTACAAAACGGCGTTCTGCTGTGCGTTGGGAGAGAACTCCTGCTGCTGTGCCATGGCGGGGATGGTAGCACAGGGCTGTGGCTGAGTGTGGTAGATTGGCATCTGTTGGGGCATCATTTTGCTGTAGACTTGCTCGGGGGTGGGAAGCTGAGCAGGGATCTGGACGTGGGCAGCGTAGATATCCTCATCGTTGATGATAAAGGTGGAGCCGTTCTGGTAGGGTGGATACTGCTCGTACGAGGATGCTGCAGAAGAAGGAGAAGGATTCTCAAGAGCAAGGTCCATGGCATCAATGGTCTCAGGCTGCATGCCGTAGGTGGCCAGCCAATCCGCCTCGGCGGGGTAGAGAGGGAAATCATTGGTCATGATCTGAGCGCCCTCCTGTGGAGGCGTGGGGACGCTGTAGGACGGGGTGGTAGAAGGAGTAGAGACGCTGGCGAGAGGAGGAGTCTGCTGGGCGATAGAGCCGTTGTGGCTGGGGGCCTTCTTGCCGTTGGTCTTGGTGCGGACATAGGTCCATCCGTGTGCCTTCTCCATGTGCTGCTTGCAGTTTGACTCACGCTTCGACTTGTAGGGGCAGGGCTTGAACAGGCACTCGAACATGGCAGGGGCATCTGAGTGCTTGTCGTTGATGTGGCGGTCCATCTCCTTCTCGGTGGGCCAGCCATAATCGTGGTACTTGCAAGTGGGGAAGGGGCACTTCCAGGGACGAGAGTGAGTCTTCTCGTGCTTGGTGAGGTCGCATGGGCGCTTGAACTCCTTGGTGCAGCCAGGTTCGCGGCACTTCTTGGGAGCCAGCTCCTCGGGGCTGGCGTTCTTCTTCCGGCGGGCCATGGACCGCATGATTTCCTCCTCATCCTCACGCTGCTGGCTCAGGGAGCGCTTCATGGGTGCGGGAGATTCGCCCATGTCTACTACCTTTCCAGTGGCCATTGAAATGGCGGTGCCGTCTTTTCTGATGCGGACAAGCTCCGCAGGGCGGCCATTCTCGGCGATGCCACCATAGAGTCTGACCTCGTCAGATCTTGGCGGGGCGTTAGTAGGGCTCTCTATATTGATGAGAGGAATAAAGCACGGTACATACTGGTCAATATCCATGTCGTCGGCAAGGCTGCCCTTTTCCTTGATGGCAGCGAGCTGCTTGCCATATTGGTAAATTTGCTCCTTCAAGTCGATAAAGTATCCGTTAGTGTAAGGTCGGTCGCCGGGACGGATTTGTTCGCGGTCGGTCAAATATTCGACAGTCGCCTGGATGCATCGGACGGACGTGAGGCAGAAATCAAGGTACAAGGCGGCGGACTTGGCCTTCTCCTTTTGACGTAACAACCGATAAGCATCACCCCAAACACCATCATCAGTCAGAAGTCGACTTACCGGTGCCATGAAGATCAAGGTCTTTTCGAGATCTCGCAGGCAAATAATTTCCTTGGATCGAATGCGTCGAGGCACATCCAAAATAATGGGTTCAAAATCCTTCAGTGTGGGTTTCTCCAGGAGGGGACGGAGAGTGTGTTCGCGGATGCGATTGATAGCCCGAGGGCTGAGGCTGGGAAGCATTGCGGTGGTGCTAGAGGCAGCCGACCTGGTGAGGGCGGATACCTGGGGCTTCTTGGTAGAGTCTGTGGCAGCGGCCTTTTCGTTTGTAGAGGCGGCCGAGCTGCCAATGCCGCTGTCAGAGGCATGGTTTCGTGAGCGTCGAACGGAGCGAGGGCGCAGAACCCGTCGCTCCATGGCGGGGTCGACAACAGGCATCTCGAGGAAGCCACGAGGAACAGGCAGGCTTGTGTCCCGAAGGGTCTGGCTTCGGGGGCTCTTGTCGGACAGGGAGAGGTCCTTTGCTTTGGAGAGGGCCTCGTCGATGTCGTTCAGAGTCAGGGCAATGCGACGCCGGCTGGCATCGACCACATCATCAAAGTCTGATTGGGATCTCTCAAGCCTGGGAGGAACGAAGTCGTCGTTGGAAGAAGTGGGAGATGTAGGAGAGTGGAAGGTGGCACCCTTGCGAAGGATGGCAGCCGTCTTAAGTGAAAGATCATGTTCGCAATCGGTTCCCAGGCGAGTCACCGGAGCCCGTCTGCGGGGGTTTGGGAGGGACATGGCGGCTTAGATCTGAAATTTCCTTCTCTGGGTGGGGAAGAAGATTGATGAGATATGGCCACAAGAGTCCTATCCACGTAGCAACAAGCGGTTAGCTTCCTTGTCGACAGATGAAGACGTCGATGTAGCAATGAGGCTCTAATGGAGGGTCGACAGGCGTGTGAGTCACAAGCCCGAAGATAGACGAGGGCTATGCCTGAGGCGATGAGGCTGGCAGGGAAGAGAAGGCCAGATATATGAGAAAAGAAGAAAAGTAAAACCTTACCAATGAATAGGCTCGATCCGAATGGGCAGTCCTAGCCCACAGTGTGCTGGACGGAGAAGCGAGCCAGTGCAAATGTCAATGCGAGACGAGCGAAGCTCAGGCAAATCAATCTCGAGCAGAGCGCTTTCAATTGTATCCGGGGTTAATGGCTCCTATGCTAGAACAGGCTGGATATGCGAGAGACGCCGATGCTGGAGTGATGGCGACTCGAGAGGGTTGTTTTGACGAGAACAAAGAGAGGCGCGAAGTATGCAGCAGAGAAGATGCAAACAGGTCTCAACGAGGACGGGGCGTAAATTGGATATATGGACGCAAGGACCCGGGACACACGGGGATGGGAAAAGAGGGTGGGCGCGAGAGGGACCGAGATACAACTCCAGGGAGTGGAGAGGACCGGGGAGGGGCGTGGATTGGGGCAGTAACTAGGCCTGATGCACGCAAGCACGAGTCCAGAATGCGACAAGGCACAAACGAAGCAGCAAGGACAGAAACGAGGACGAGATCGAGGTCGAGGTCGAGGGGAGGATGAGAAGAAGACGAGAGAGAGGCTTGGAGACTGATTAGAAACCAGTCCGGACTCAGCCCACCGCAGGCTGCTGCCTAACAGGCGTCCCTGTTTGGGCCTAGCGCAGGTGTGGGCTGAGGCGTAAGCGCTGCGGAGGACGAGCATCCCTGCCCACTGAGGCCGCTGGCGGTACCTGGCGGTAGGGAGAGCCGCAACGGTACTCGCCGCACTAACAGCGCGCTCAGGTCAGAGCGGTGCCAGCGGCCTAGTGCGGCGCCGGCGCTGCGCTATGGAGGCCCGGGCGCTGGCAGCATCAAGGCAAGGGAGCAGCGACGGTGCCGGTCTGCGCTGCGGCGAGCAGACGGGGGGCTTGTGCCACTGATAGCGCCTCAGGTCGCGACGCTATCGCGGGCGACAGCCGAGTCGCTGGTCCCGTGTATGCCGGCTCGGAAATCAGCAGCACAGTACTTCGCGCTTCGCACTCGAAGCCCCCCCCGGTACCTGTATTCTGCGATCCGGCCCAGCTTCCCCGGAGAGTCAGAAGTCAGAAACCCAAATCCTGCTGTGCTCCGCCGTTGTAAATACCAAGCGAGTCCGACTCACTACTCATGCTAGTAAAACTCCCTAATATTGCGCTGGGCGAAAAGGACAGCTATTATTGCCGTTGTCGGTAAAGGTCGAATTTCCGACGACTCTGGCGCGTTTTCCACGTAATACGGTCAAGCAGGCTCCTCTTCTTCCTCCTTCTCCTCCTCCTCCTCCTCCTCCTCCTCCTCCTCCTCCTCCTCTTCTTCTTGCTGCTTGCCCAACAGCTTCAGGGTGGTGACCGCCAAAAAACGATGCACAGGACACGCAAAAGCCCACTCGTGTGACAGTCGGTGACGTGCCGACAGTGCGAGCTCCAGCACCACCGCGGCGGCCATGAGCCTATCGTGAAGCCTCGCGCCTGTGCAGGGATCAGTGGCTGGCCGTTGTTGGTCTGCGCGA